GCGCCGGGAAGCCGGGGGGCCGCCGCCGCTGCTGCCGCTGCTGCTGCTACTCTGGCTGCTGCCCGGCCCCGCGGCGCCCCAGGAGCTGAACCCGCGCGGCCGCAACGTGTGCCGCGCGCCCGGGTAGGAGCCCGGCCTGGCTGGGGGAGGGGTCCGAAAGGGACGCTCGGGGCCGGGGGCTGACGGCGCCTGGCGTTGGTGGGGGGGCGCCCGGTACCTTCCTACGCCAAACGCGCCGGCCCCTTCCGCCGCCCTCGCCGATGCCTGCTCTGTTCCAGGCCGAGCCTGGGCCTCGAGCCATAACTGCATCCGAGGATACTCCGGAGGAGAAGTCACCTGAGGCGAGAACGGAGTGCCGCGGGCGCCCAGTGGGTGACACATGGTGTCCGAGGTTTCAGGAAAGACCCGGAAAAAAGGACCCTTGAGCCGGGTTGTGAAGAACGTAGGGAGAAGCCAGGGAAGAGCATCCCTAGCAGGAGGAACAGCATGTGCAAAGGCCCGGGGCACGAGTACTCCTGAAGCTTGGAGTGGGGCTGAGGAGGAGGGTAAAGGGAGAAGGAGCAGTGCTCTGGAGAGGTGGGAGCCGGGAGGTCTGGGGGCAGGAGGAAACTTGGAAGGGCAGATGTGTGTCTTAGAAAGAGCAGGAGCGGGTGGGAGGAGGACGGTGACTGAGGCAGCACTGAGGAGCCGACGCTTAGAGTGGAACAGAGGCGGGAGTCGAAAGGACAATGACAGGCGCAAAGAACGGGAGGATGTAGGAACCCCCGGTGACTCTAAGGTGGGGACACTGGATGCATGGAGGGGCCACGCAGAAGTGGGGCGCCACGAGGAGCCGGCTGGGGAAGCCAGTATGGGACAGGCGGGGGACAGACCCGGCCGGAGGGTGGCGGGCCCAGGTGCTTGCACAGAGGGCAAAGAGCCGAGGCCAGAAGTAGGAACAGGGGTCGGGGGACCTGGCTGGCTGGTCGGAGGCGACGGCGGGGTCAAGGGCACCTCCCCGCAGGAGCAAGGAGCTAGCTTGTGGGGGCGCCTTGGCGCGTGTTGGGGGGCGCCGCACGGGGGGCAGCTGGAAAAGCGGCCGCGGGCCTTCGGCTGGGTTCCGTCGGGACGCCCTGGGCCGCAGGGCCCACAGAGGCTGGGTCCAGGGGCTCGGCGGGCGCCGCAGACAAGGGACTGTGAGGGGGCCGCGCGGGGTTTCCGAACTCCGGTCCCGAGGCGCGCAGACCCCTCCCCGTTGCGAACCCCGCCTCCGGGGCGGGGGCCGGCCGGGCCCGCCATCTGCTTCGCATCCACGCCGCCGCCGCCTCCCGGGCCTCCCCGGCCCCAGGAATGCAGCGGCGGCGGCGGGCGGGGCCGTGCCTGGAGAGGGGGAGGGCGCGATCGCCGCCCGGCCCTGTCTACCCACCTCAGCCCTCCTCCCCGACCGGGGCCGCGTCCAGGGGTGGGGATCCGGTGGCAGGCTCGAGCCGTCGGGAGCCAGAGAGCCCTTAGCTCCCACTCCCCTTGCCTGGAGACCTCCCGATGAGGCGGCCTCTTCCAGTAACCAAGAAACCAAGTGCCGGGGTTTGGGTTCAGATCCTGGAGCCACCCCTTCCCAATTGTGTGGACCTGGGCAAGTCGCTTAACCAACCTCTCTGGGCCATTGAGGTGGTTGAGGGGGTGATTACTGGGATGATGCGTGGTGAGGGTTAATAGGAAGGACAGCCACTCTGGACACCGCCCTCCTGGGGTCTGGGCCATCTGTTTTGTTACCCTCCCAGTACCTTTCAAGCCTTCATCCTTTTACCTCCTTCCCTTCCCCAGGAGGCAAGAGGACCAAGGGGAGGAGCATGTACTCAGGCAATAACATCACATGCACCTACTGTTTGCCACACCTGTGTTGGTGCAGGGATACAGTAGTGAGACCAATGCTCTTGTTTCCGTGGTAGAAGAGACATACAGCCCAGAAAAGCAAGTGCGTCTAGACATCTAGCAAGAGCTGGGAGGAAGTGTTGAGTTGGGGAGTGCTGTGTCCTTTAGGGTGACCTGGGGGGACCCACTGAGAAGGTGGGTGTGAGCACAGGCCTGCAGGAGAGGAGGCAAGGCCTGGAATCCAGAGGGCACATTGGAAGCACAGTGAGGAGCCATGGGGCTGGGAAGAGCCCTGAGAGTGAGGGTGGGTGGGCCACAAGGGTTCTGCCCGCTGTCCCAGGACTTGGGCCATAGGAGCCCAGGGGACTTTGCACAGATCCCCAAGGGTGGGATCTGACCAGGGTTGGCTGCCAGGTGGCAGATGTACTGGCGGGCAGGAAGGTGGAAGCTAGGGCCATTTAGGAAGTCAGGAGAAACGGGAGATTGAGAGAGGCTGGGGCAGGGCAAGGGAGAAGTGGTCCCATCCTAGATGTAGTTTAGAAGATACAGCCAAAGTACTTCTTGATGGATCTGCCGCGGGCAGGAGAGAGGAGTCAGGGATGCCTGCTGGGGTCTCAGCCTCCCACCATAGAAGGACACGGGTAACCCTAGGTGGAGAAGACTCAGAGTGCAGAGGTCAGAAGTCAGGTTTTGGATGGGTTGAGTATGAGACCCCCATGAGGCCTCCCTGTGGTGACATCCATCAGGCAGTTGGATTTGCAAGTCTTGCATTGAGAGGAGGGCCCTGCTGGAGGGCCTGGAGGCATTGTCAGTGTCCCGATGTGACCCAGTGGCCTTCCTGAGGGAGCTAGTGTGGACACAAGGGAGGAGAGGAGAGATCTAAGGATGGGGACAGAAACCAGAGGAAGGGTGTCCAGGATGCAAGAGGAGAGTTAGGCAGTTGTGGGACCCCAAGTGGCCTGGCAGGCAGAGAAGCCTCCTTGGTTGGATTTGGCACAGAACGGGGACAGGCATGGCACAATGTGCAGGCTTTAAGATGGAAGAAACCACAGTGGGTTTGAATCACTGCAGGAATAATGATCTGCAGAGGGAGCAGCCTGCAGCACATCACGCTTGCTGGGTGCCCTGGCCAGCCCTTGGCCTGGATCCCCAGGGCCTCGCTGACTTACAGAGCAAGTGTGGAAACTGCTCCCTACACCAGGCCCTCTTTCTACACCCACCTTCACACGATCTTGAGAGGCTGGGCTTGCCACCCCAGTCTGGCCTGTCTGCCAGCCCTTTGAGAGGGAAAGCCTCTTGTTCTGGGCTCTGTCCTGCCTGTGGGTGTCAGCTCTGCAGGGGTAAGGCCTGGGTGCTAGTGATGGCAAGTGGACTTGGGCTTCCTGGAGTCTACTCCCAGAACTCCAGTTTCAGCATGGGCTGGAGAGCAGCAGACAGTGACTTAAACCATAGCTTGGCTCTCTTAATCATCTTGCCAAACCCATGGGCACCTATTCTATAGCTAAGGAACCCGAAGTTCAGAGAAGTTAAGCTCCATGGCTGAGGTCACACAGCAAATGGCAGATCCAGGCATCAAACCCAGCTGAGTGTGACCCTAAAACCCGGCTCCTAGCCACAGAGCCACAAGGCCAAGCTATCCAGAGTAGAAGGTGGGCAGTACTTCCAGGGCCATCTCTGCAGGTGATCTGGCAAGGCTGCCTGTAGCGGGGTCACCTGCAGAGGCTCTCTATCCAGAGACCAGAACCAGGTAGAAGGGGGAGGGTGATGGGCCAGCAGACTTAGGCCTCCCGGCAGATGGGTCCCTTGGAGCCCCCAGAGTTAGGGCTGGCTGGGTGGAGACAATGGGGGGCAGGAAAAACCAGGCCTGCTGTGTATTCCAGTTTTATTTGTGGAAAATAGACCAGGTCTTTTCCCCGCAGTTCAGGATTTTATGGGTCCTATTCCCCAGGTCCCACCTTTGGCCTGAGGGAGAACCAAGTCCTTCCGTGGGGAGAGATCACCCTTGGGGCCTCAGGCTGTGGCAGTTATCCAAGCTGGAGAACGGTTGTGGGTATCTTCTGCAGCCTGGTCAAGAGTGTACAAGCATGTGTGTGGCATTGGTAACCTTTCCCTTCCCAGTCTGTCCCACCCCACCCCAGGGGTTTCAGGCCCCCTCTCAAACTCCCACCACCACATGCTGATTCTAGATTCATATCTTTCTGAAGAAACACACTCCTTTTTCTCTGAAGTGTGAATGGCTACTCCACACCTTTAGGGTTGAGGCAAAGTTCCGCTGGGTCTGATGGGACCCTAGAAACCTAATCCAGCCTCAGTGGCTGTGGCTTCTCAGCCTCCTCTGCCCCCTTAAATGTGGGCACCCCCTAGCTCAGCCCCAAAGGGCCCTCTCCTGCCATCACATTTTCACTGGGCAGGGCCTCCAAAACTTCATGCCCAAACATCTCATCTGATCTGCCTAGGGTTTTGGAGGCTGCACCAAACTGAAATGCTACAGTTACAAATTACCTTCTACAGAGGTTACATCATGTACTTCGTAATGCCAAATAAAATTAAACAAGAGTGAAACAATAAGTATAAATAGATGCTCTAGTATCTCCTTCCTTCACCCCAAGTCTGCCCTCAGGCTCTGCAGCCCTTGCAGTTTTACTTTCCTTACACACATGGAGGACTCCCCATGTGCCCTGCTCCTCCCCTAGCTGCTGGGTGGGCCAGCCTCCCCCCAGAAGTCCCCTCTGCCAAGTCCACACCCCACCTCGCAGAGGCTGCCCCTTCACCCTTGCTCTTCGCCTCAACTGGGCATCCAGTTGTGTCCCTCTGGCCCAGCCAGTCCTGGTGCTGTCCAGTCATGTCACATTTGGATCCTTGACACCCACCTGGCCCAGTCCCTCTTCCTGAGGAACACCCTAGACCCCAACGTTTTAGCAGGTCCTGACGGCCCAAGGTCTTCTGCTTAGCCCTCACCTCACTGCTGCCTCTCCTGGGAATCAGGGCCTCTCTTCTAAGGCCTAGTGGCTTGGGGAGGAGGGCACAGAAGAGTTTGGTGGCATGGAGAGGGGTGGGGGTCCCTTTTGGGGGGGAGCTGGGACGTTCTTAGAGGTTAGGTCTTTTTGTGGTGTGCCCTCTGCCCCCTCCCAGAGTGCTGGAATTTGTGTCTTTCTTATTCACTGGGAGTCTCCTGCACCTACAACAAGGCCTGGCAGGGCCTTTGTAACCACCTCCCTAGGGCAGGACCGCAACTGTGGAGGCTGCCCAGTTGGGAATGAGGATGGGGGGGGTGCAAGGACTGGGGCATCAGGCTCAGGCGTTCTCTCTCTGCTCGCAGCTCCCAGGTGCCCACGTGCTGCGCTGGCTGGAGGCAGCAGGGGGACGAGTGTGGGATTGGTGAGTGGGACACCCCGGGCACCTGAGCAGGGAGGCAGGGAAAGGAGGAGATAGCACGCGCGGCAGCTCGGGTCTGTCTCGTCTGCAGCGGTGTGCGAGGGCAACTCCACGTGCTCGGAGAACGAGGTGTGCGTGAGGCCGGGCGAGTGCCGCTGCCGTCATGGTTACTTCGGTGCCAACTGCGACACCAGTGAGCGCGGGGAGGGGCTGGTACTAAGCAGTGGGGCGGAGCCAGATCCAGGGACTGGATTCAGCTTGGCGGCGGGTCCTCAGAGGCAGGCGCTGGGGTGCGGGACGCAGGCAGATTCCGGCTGGGCTGGGGAAGGCAGTCAAGCACCCAGACCTCCCACCTCCGTTTGTCCCTGCAGAGTGTCCGCGCCAGTTCTGGGGCCCCGATTGCAAGGAGCTGTGTAGCTGCCACCCTCACGGGCAGTGCGAGGACGTGACGGGCCAGTGTACGTGTCACGCGCGGCGCTGGGGCGCGCGCTGCGAGCATGCGTGTCAGTGCCAGCACGGCGCGTGCCACCCGCGGAGCGGCGCGTGCCGCTGCGAGCCCGGCTGGTGGGGAGCGCTGTGCGCCAACGCGTGCTACTGCAGCGCCACCTCGCGCTGCGACCCACAGACAGGCGCCTGCCTGTGCCACGCAGGCTGGTGGGGCCGCAGCTGCAACAATCAGTGCGCCTCCAACTCGTCTCCCCTTGTCCCTGCAGAGTGTCCGCGCCAGTTCTGGGGCCCCGATTGCAAGGAGCTGTGTAGCTGCCACCCTCACGGGCAGTGCGAGGACGTGACGGGCCAGTGTACGTGTCACGCGCGGCGCTGGGGCGCGCGCTGCGAGCATGCGTGTCAGTGCCAGCACGGCGCGTGCCACCCGCGGAGCGGCGCGTGCCGCTGCGAGCCCGGCTGGTGGGGAGCGCTGTGCGCCAACGCGTGCTACTGCAGCGCCACCTCGCGCTGCGACCCACAGACAGGCGCCTGCCTGTGCCACGCAGGCTGGTGGGGCCGCAGCTGCAACAATCAGTGCGCCTGCAACTCGTCTCCCTGCGAGCAGCAGAGCGGCCGCTGCCAGTGCCGCGAGCGCACGTTCGGCGCGCGCTGCGATCGCTACTGCCAGTGCTTCCGTGGCCGCTGCCACCCTGTGGACGGCACGTGCGCCTGCGAGCCGGGCTACCGCGGCAAGTATTGCCGAGAGCCGTGCCCCGCCGGTTTCTACGGCCTGGGCTGTCGCCGCCGGTAAGCCCGGGGCCCCGGAAGGGAGAGGAGGAAGGAGAAGGGCGGGGGGGCAGGCGCCCACGGGGACAGGGGTGAGGCGGCTCCCGACCCTGCCTAGCCTTCCGCCCGGTCCCCAGGTGCGGCCAGTGCAAGGGCCAGCAGCCATGCACTGTGGCCGAGGGCCGCTGCCTGACATGCGAGCCCGGTTGGAATGGAACCAAGTGCGACCAACCGTGCGCCACCGGCTTCTATGGCGAGGGTTGCGGCCACCTCTGCCCACCGTGCCGCGACGGGCATGCCTGTAACCATGTCACCGGCAAGTGTACGCGCTGCAACGCGGGCTGGATCGGCGACCGGTGAGCAGCCCGTACCTGCATCGGCCCAGACACGTAACCCCCCCAGCCCTTCCTCCCCCGAAGGCCCTCCGCGAAGAGCACTGTGGGCTTTGGGTCCGTTTGCCTCCATGTCTGCTGACCTTCGTTCCCCTTGTTCCAAGGTGCGAGACCAAGTGCAGCAATGGCACTTACGGCGAGGACTGTGCCTTCGTGTGCGCCGACTGCGGCAGCGGCCACTGCGACTTCCAGTCGGGGCGCTGCCTGTGCAGCCCTGGCGTTCACGGGCCCCAGTGAGTGCCCTGGGACCCAGGGAGGGTTGGGAGGCTTATGTACTGACACAGGGGGCTCCAGCCAGACCCTAGGGGCTGACGAGTTGGGACCCAGGCTGACCTCAGCCTTGGCCCCTTACCCCAGCTAGGGTGTGACAACAGGCTTTTTAGAGCAGTTTTCTGGCCTGGTGAGGAGCCAGACCTGGTGACCAGTTCAGCCTGTGGCCAGTTGGGCTCCTGGGATGACCCTGAGCTGGTGTACAGCAAGCAGGGACCCCCACTTACAGACAAGGGTGTGGTCTGGCAGTCCCTCTTCCCGGTCACTCAAGTCAGCCCCAGAAATGGTCACTGCGGCCCGGTGACCAGGGCCCCACCCCTCAGAACCCATTCCGCAGGTCGTGCACACATTCATTTCCAAAACATTGATTACCCAGTGTGTGCCCGCAGGTGGGGGTGGGCATCAATCCCTAGAGAATGGAGCTAGAGAGTCCGAATCTGGGACCTGGGACCCGGGACCCGGTTCAGGCAGGCCTCGGGGTCCGGGGCGAGGGCGGGAGGCATCCGGGAGGGCCACATAGGCTTGCCCTGACCCCGCGCCCTCGCAGCTGTAACTTGACTTGCCCACCCGGGCTTCATGGTGTGGACTGCGCCCAGGCCTGCAACTGCCACGAGGACTCGTGCGATCCTGTCACCGGTGCCTGCCGCCTAGGTGAGTGGGTGAGGGTCGGCCCGTTGGGGAATGGGGGGAGGGGGGTTGCGAGCACCCGCAATGAACCGGCGCCCCCCACAGAGACCAACCAGCGCAAGGGCGTGATGGGCGCGGGCGCGCTTCTTGCACTACTCCTCGGTCTGCTGCTGTCGCTGCTCGGCTGCTGCTGCGCCTGCCGCGGCAAGGACCCCGCGCGCCGGTGAGGCCCAACGCGGTCCCCGCTCTCTCGGTGGTTGAGACTGCACACTGTGGCGCTCCCCGCCCTTCCTGAGCCCAGGCCCCGCCCCCTCAGGGTTTCGACCCGCCCCCTCCAGCCCCGGCCCCGCCCCTTCGCTCAGGCCCCGCCCTCGCAGGGAGCTCTCGCTCGGGAGGAAGAAGGCGCCTCAGCGACTGTGCGGGCGCTTCAGTCGCATCAGCATGAAGCTGCCGCGGATCCCGCTGCGCAGGCAGAAGCTGCCCAAAGTCGTAGGTAAGGATGACGACGTGGGGCCTCTGGGGGAAACACCTCCCGACGCAGGAGGCTGCAGGGAAATGGATGTGAAGAGGTCCAGGGCTCGGAGTAGAAATGGGAGACCTTGCGTGTTGGTGTGGATGGGCGTGAGGAGGTGTGACCAAAGGGAAGGAAAGGGGATGCTGCTGCAGGCGAGGCTGGGGAGGAAGGCAGGAGTCCTAGGTGTGAGGGCAGCTGTGGGGGTGTGCGTAGACCCTGTGAGTGATTGCATCAGGGGCATTTGGACATCTGGGTCCAGCAGGCCCCCCAATCTGCAAGGGGACGTGTGGGCACGTGTGCATGGGAGTTCCCTTCCCTTAAGGAGAAGACCCGCTCTCCTGCCTGGATCGTCAGTAGTGCCCTGAGCCCCTCCTCCTGGAAAGTGGGCAGACTGGTCCTTCGGGCCCCCACCCTACCAAGGGACCCCGGAGGGGAGGGGATATGCTACTCCTCCCTGTCTGTGTTGACCCTCTCTCTCTTTTTCATTTGTTTCTGAAGATGGGTTGGTGGGGGGTACTCAAACTCTTGGGAGGTAAAGAAAGAGAGCTGAGGAAACCCTTGGCCCACCCAGCAGCATAGCATCTATGGATGTAGGTTTGGGAGCTGGGCCCTACATCCCACCTGTGGAATGGAGCCAGCCTCTGAAATCCCCCATTGTGGAGTCTGCATCCCTGGAGGCCAGGCCTGGGGAGTGCAGCCTGCTGAGATGGGCTGAGTCAAAGGGTGGCCTTGCTGCATATTTAGACTCAAAAGTGCTTCATGGTTCCCTGGGTCCCACAAGACAGCGTCCAAAGCTTGGCTTGGAAGCCCTGGTGGCCTGTCCCAGCCAGGTGCTCTCTCCAGCAGCTCTGTCTCCCACCTTTCGGCCTTTCCCCAACACTTGAGCCCAACCTTTTCCAGCTCCCTGGCTGTGCATGCTTGCCTTGCACTTTTGCACATGGTGTTCCCTCTTTCTTTACCAGTTCACCTCTACCCATTATCCAGTGCAGGACCAGTGTCACTCTACCTGTTGAATTGCCTGTCCCACCTGCAGTCTTAGGGTAGGGCTGGTCTTGATCACTACATCAACACTTGTGGCAGAAGGGCTAGTGAGGGCACAGGCTGGGCAAGGCAGGGCCCCAGGCAGCTCTGCTCACTCTTTTCCCAGTGGCGCATCACGACCTGGATAACACACTCAACTGCAGCTTCCTGGAGCCACCCTCAGGGCTGGAGCAGCCCTCACCATCATGGTCCTCCCGGGCTTCCTTCTCCTCCTTCGATACCACCGATGAAGGCCCTGTGTACTGTGTGCCCCATGAGGGTGAGTGATGCCCTTCTGTGGCATTGCTCCAGCCCAGAGAAAAGCTCCAGCTGAAAGATCTCTGTGCCGGGGGTGGGGCAGGCATCATGGGAGGAAGGGCATGGTGATGCTGTTAACTGTGGGTAGGTCACGTAGCTGAGGCTTGCAGAGCTGGATTCTGTGCTGCCCAATGCCAGGCTGGGGTGAGGTATAGGAAGATAGGTGGGCTCTCCAGTTACTAGCTACATCCCAGGTTCACTTCTGGAGGGAAACCAGGCAGAAAGAAACTTCTGGGCCTGGGAAGGGGGTGGAAGAAGAGACAGGAAGGGGAAGCCACAGGGTATGAGGATGCACCTTTGCCTGCAGCCTTGGGCCCACTTACAGCAGGAAGGAGCCTGACTGGCTGGGATTCTGGCCTCTCTTCTCCCTTGACCATCCCCCTGGGTAATGACCCTAGGAAGGTGACAACCCTCTCAGCCTTGGAAATCTTATTTCTTAAAGGAGTAAAATGGAATCCCTTTGGGGATGTTGGGGGGGGTCAGATTTGATGATGGCGCCCCGGAGGCTGGGGTGTGGTGGGGAAGGGGAGTGAGGCCAGGACAGGGCTGGGCTTCAGCCCAGGAATGTGCCCTTCACTTTCCAGCAGCCACACACTCTGAGGCTTTGAACTGTTTGTGGTTGGTGCTATGAATGTGCCAGGCATTTCTGGATGCCAGGGCGACACGGCACCAGCCCGGGCCAGGGTAGAGGAGGAGAGAAAGTGAAGGTTTTCGCTCGGAGGTTGGATGAGTGGGAGCTATTCCAGGAAACGGTGACCATCCCGCTCTTCCACTGTCAGAGGCGGCAACCGACAGCCGGGACCCAGAGACCCCCACCGCCCCTGCGGAGGCGCCAGCTTCGTCCCCCGCGCCCTTGACCACGCCAGCGTCCGCGGAGGAGGCGACGGCCTTCCCCGCGTCCTCCGACAGCGAACGGTCGGCGTCTAGCGTGGAGGGGCCCGGAGGGGCACTGTATGCGCGCGTGGCCCGGCGCGAGGCCC